TCCTGTTCTGGTGGTGATCTTCATTCGTTGCTGGTGGTTCCTATGCAGGAGGCCTCTCCGGCTGGAAATCCTTGCTTCCGTGGAAGTCAAGAGGACTTCGTTGCAGGATCCGCTTGCCATTCCCGGTCTCTGTCTGGGAGCTGTTTGGAGCGTCCGGAGTTCGCTCCTTAAGAGGGGCGTTATGTCACATCCTGCTCTGTTCTGTGGAGATGTCTGGCCTTGGCTTCTGGTATCCAGTACTCTTTTTACAATTCTTGTTTAGTTTTTCTTGGTTTTTCTGGTTTTCAATTCTATGTCTGGTTTTCTTAATTGCTGGGATTTCTGGGTTCATTCTTATATTCCGTCCCTGGAATTCCCAGTGTCCAGGTTTCCTTTAAATGTTTGTTTTATGTTGCCACACCCGTTTGTTTTCCATCATTCCTTTTGTTTCAGTGTCCTGCAGGCAGCTGCTCAAGGCTTCTGCCCTTTCTTGCAGGTATGTGTTTCTTATGGTTCTTTTAGTATACATTAGGCAGTGTAGGACCTGCCAAATATAGAGTACATTGGCATTGTTGGCAGGCTTATGCAATGTATGATCATATAATGTAACTAAATCCCCATTCTTTTCATATATAGTGCTTAGTTATTTCTCCTCTTGTTTTGCCTATCATATCTTGTCTTGTTTTAGTTTGTATACCCAGTCCATGTACAGTCCTGCCTTGTCCTGTCCTGTCCATGTTATGTTCATGTTTCCCTCGTGTCTATCCTAGACTTGCCTTGATTCTGTACTGGATACATTCTTGCTGCAGAGCCTCCCTATTCAGCTCTGGGGGGTCTGCTTAATTCCTGTTCTTAGTTCCTGGGATCCGCATAAGCTGAATCAGGGTTCTGGTATGTGGCTGCACAAACGCTGGTGCTCAACACCAGGGGGCATGCGGTTACCCTGCACCAGACCCTGCTAATCCACCTCCACACTGTGACTCCTACTCTGAACATTGGGCTTGCTGGGTCCCGGTCCTCGCACCTCAGCCCGGACGGTGTCTGGGTCCCAGGCACCGGACTGCCACTCTGACCCTCACTTACCTTAGCAACCATGCATGCCAATGCCGTGTGTTACAGACACAAAGCTAGAAGCCGCACAACAAGGGACCACAGTTAGGCTGACACCTTTTTCTTTTCACACATACACCCTCTGTGAAATCTCCCCCCCCCACCCCTCCACTCCAGTCCACAGACGAACCCACCTCAATGCACAAATATATAGCCGACCGGCAAAGGGGGCTATCCTAAGTGGTTACCACGCACGAGGAACACAACATTACCCACACAGAGCAAAAGAGCAGACCACCACATTTGTTAATCTTACCATAAATATCAAAATGTGTATTGTTCACAGATGCCAACCTTGTTAGTGTTGTTACTTAAGCTGGCATGTGCTGTTGTGGCATTGTTAGTAACCATGTTCATCATATACACGTAAAATAAAGAATACAAAAATATATATATATATGTTATTAATAGTGCAATTATTAGAAATCAAGATATAGAAAAATAAAATAACACAAGGTGAATCCCCGATACAACTCCCTGTCTCTACCCCATAGGAAACTAGTATCAAATACATATAAATTGAGAATTGTATAAATGCGAATTTTTTTTCCCCATAATTTGTTTGAATCGATGAAGGCTAACACAGTATGATGTAAATGTTAAAATAGACATTATCTTGCCAAGTTCAGTCACCCTGTCTGCTACTTTAAAAAAAAAAAAATCTGTGAACTTTGCTTCTGCCGAGGAAATTTCAAAATCTGACCCATGATTCCATATAGAATTACTTTAGTATGGGGCATTGGGCCTAATCAATTGAAGCTGAAAAGAATTTCAATGATCTTCTTCTCAGGTTTGTTATGTACTCATCATGTTTTTCTGGACATGTCGATCATATTTTTACACACACACACACACAGATTTTGTTTCCGGAACAATGGAGACTCAGACGGGAGCAGGTTACTAGCCCAATAGAATATATTGTAATAGATAAAATCTGGGACAATATTGTGTTGCTCAGCAATGCTAGCACCTGGCAAAGGAAAGAATATACAAAAAGCTATCTTTATATCTTCTGTCTATTTAAGGCATTCACCCCTGCCTTGAGAAAGAAAATGATGCAAGCATTGCATGGTCTAATTCATTATCTGAAAATAAGACCACGGGATATATTAAAATGTATATTACTAAGCACACATCCCTATTGTAAAAAAAGTTCAATTGTATAATCCACTTTATAAAAAAAGTAAATAGCAAATAAATGTCTGTGTATTTCTATTCATGTGAGATAGTTTGTAACTAAATGTAATCATTTAAGTAATTCTATTTAAAAAATTTCTACAATTTACAAGTGGGGGGACATTTACTTTGTTTAATATACCTTATAGGGGAATATAGATTGAGAGCCCCTCTCCTTGATTGACGTTTGCGCCCCCTCCGACTTCACAGACTCCTTGTCACAAGCTGTGAGAGATGCCTGTAATGCCAATTCAGCAGCTCATAGTGCATGCATGTGCTCATGTACCCGCAGAGGAAGGAGCATGCAGTGTGAGCTAAATGCAGACTTTTTTATGCACAATATTGATATTGGAAACCCGGAACAGGAATGTTACTCGTTCTGGGGGTGCACACAATTAAATATATCTCTGTATGTGCAATATTTCGAGCTGAGACACTGCACATACATACACCTACCACCATAACCACTTCAAATCACTGTAGTGATCATGCTGGTTAGAGTAAACCTTTAAGCAATATTTTAAAATTTACAATTACAATGGAGCAAACATAAAAATATTATAATATGGCAAACATTTACCCCTGTAAATGTAGTGCAAAATGATTCATGTTATTGTTTTCATTGTTATCCTTGTTCAAGGGAAAGATCAATTAGGTGCTGGAACTTCGTTGATGAGATGACTACCAAAACAAATATTGAGTAAGCGACTGCTCTTGCGGTGAGCTGGTACAATGGCTGCTACCTTTGAAGTACCTGGCCAGGGTGGGGAGATTCTCTGATCTCAGTGTCAGGACTTACCTTCACTCCATCACTGCACCGGCGGCACTCCCACATGGCAAATGTATGTATTTCTAAAATATTTGACCAAGAAGGATACATTGAGATTTACCTTGTTTTTAAGTAGGTCACAAATGCCCAAATGGGCGCAAGTCCGAACGCCAGGGACGGGACGGGCCTCCAAACTCCAGTCGCATCACATCCCAGGCAAAGATTGACGTCTGCTAGGCGTGCACTATCATTCGATGCCACAAGGCAGCCCTAGGAGGCGTTGAACAAATCAGGATAGATTATTTCCCATGCCAACCCATGATAATTTGGCATGGCATAATGTGGACTTAGCTAATGTGGCATAGTACAATGTGGTAAAATAATGTGGCATAGCAAAACGTGGTTTGACATAAGGTGACGTGTGCTCAGATTATATGACACAGCATTATGTGGTCTTAGATACGTTGGCATAGCATAACGTGGACTCAGATAATGTGGTACAGCATTATGTGGGCTAAGATAATGTGGCACAGCATACCGGCCTGAAATAAGGATATGCTAACACGGGCTATGGGGAAAGGACAATATAGTAAACAGATTTATCAAAAAAACAGGTCTCATAGACATTTGGCAGATTCGACACCCGGACGTGTGCCACATAATACAAACTCTCAAATAGACTATTTTCTCACTAATGGAGCTGGAATGGCTAGAATAGGGAAATCAGAGATTAATTCCATTACGTGGTTGAACCATGCGGATATCACAATATATGTTTAAAATCTATGCACAGCGAGGTTCAACTCCTCCCTGCTTAAAGGGACACTGTAGGCACCCAGACCACTTCAGCTCATTGAAGTGGTCTGGGTGCTGTGTCCCTTTTGCACCTAGTACTGCAATGTAAAACATTGCAGTTCCAGAGAACTGCAATGTTTACATTGCAGCACTAAGTCTGCCCTCAGTGGCATTAGACCCCGCTCGTCAAAGAACGGAGAACATCAGAGGAACATTGGTGCTGGAATAAGGCAGACTCCTGGGAATTGGAACAAATTTCCTCAAGTGAGGAGAAATTTTCCAGTGGCCAATGTCCTCTGGACTCCAAGGCTGTGGACCATATGATCTTCTTGGTCAGTAGAACCCTGGAGATTCCTGAAGAGGTACAAGAATCATCTGCCACAGACTAGTTCTTTGCGGAACTAAGCCCCAAAAAAGTCTCCTTTCCAGTGCACAAATCTATCAAGGAGCTTATGAGAAACGAATGGGCCACTTCTGAGAAGAGATTATACTTGCAATATCGTCTCCCAAAGCTTTACCCAATTAATGAAGGGGATTCTAGAATTTGGATTTCAAATCCTAAAGTTGATGCCCCAATTATTAAGGTGGCTAAGCATTCTACAGTACATATTGATAGTAATGCTTCTCTTAGACATCCAATGAATAAGAGAATTGACACCAGCCCTATCAAAATTGTTTGCTGCTGCAGGCTTAGGCTGTTATCCACCATTAGTAATTTATGCCATGTCAAGGGTTATGAAGTTTTGGATCACGGACATAGAGGAAGACCTGGATAGAGGTGTACATAGACACCACATCTCTGAGTCCCTGAAAGAGGTCAAGTTGGCAAGTGAATGGCTTTCAGAGGCTTCAACAGACTTTATCAAGGTCCTTTCTAAAACTATAGGATACTCAGTATCCACAAAAAGAGTCCTGAGATCTTGGGGAGCAGACATAGTATCAAAACGCAATTTGTTTGTGTGGCGAAACCGACCTCGCCACTGGGCATTGGAGAAGACTGATTTCCAGCCTCCTGCCATGTGACTATGGCCCCTGGGATTTATTGCCCTTTAAAGATATGATTTGGGCATAATGGATTTGTGTTGTGCTGCTGCTGGCCCTTAAAGAACCATCTGGGGACATACTGTGGAGTTACTGGGTGGCCACCATTTCATGTATCAGAGGCACATGGTGAGAACAATGGATGAAGCACATGGTGAGAACAATGGATGGCGGCCATTTTAACTCAGACACTGTTTGGACTTTTCAACACGGTGCCATCTCGCCGGTATTTGGTGCACAGAGACATCGTGCAGTGGTTTTGGACTATACAACAGGGGACACATTATACAGTAATTGTTTTTCATTTAGCCTGCATATGTTCTGTGGAATCTGCATTAAACTGTATCTTCCAAAGTACTGAACGGATCTGGGTGAATTTTGGATATGTGGTTCACCCAGATCCCCCGGTTCCAAGGATATATATATGGGGTTATTGCATGTTTTGGGGTCCCTGTGATGTGTTTTATGATACTGTATTTTTGCTGCTTGTGATAATTATGTTAACCCATTGTGTGCCATAATTAGATCACAAGCAGAGGGTTTTCTGTAATGTACGTGTGTTATTGGTTGTTCTGTAAAACCCTGTGGGCAGTACTAAGTTTGTGGATTGGGAATAAAAGAGGCTGTATGTGCCAGTACAGTCAGTTCTGCTTGACCCTCAAAACGAAGTGTCGTCTCGTAACTGGGGGAATCTGCTACAAGGGATTGCTATGCTAGTCATACTCCCTTGCTGTATCATTACTAAGCTCTTGTAAGAGCTTTTTCCTGTCTGGAGGAGTCTACAGTGGTTATGGTGTCGACTGGAGTGCTTGGAGCCCTCAGGAAGCACTAGGAGCATCCTTCAACGGAGGTACCCAGTCGGGGTGCCAGGTGATCCGTTACAGTTTGCTTTACCTTTTTTGGGTGATGTCTTCTTCGGCAAGCATTTAGAAGAAGTCATTAGGAGGGCGGCAGATGCCAAGCAGGTCCTTCTTCCACAGGACAAGAGACTAAGGAAACCACTTCCAGACCATAGACCTTACAGAGAACCTGTCTCCTTTAGGGATAGTAAGGCCTTTAGACCGGGCAGAGAATATAGAAACACTACCTGGAGAAGTGGTCAGTCAGCTAAGGCACTCAGATGCACGAATCCTTCGAACTCCTTTCGTTCCAATAAAAAGTTCTAAAGATTACAGTCCACAGGCTTCCCTAGCAGGTGCCAGACTCTTACACTTCTGGAAAGCCTGGAATCACATCCAGGATTTGTGGGTAAAAGCCATAGTGTAATCCGGCTACACACTGGAATTTGAAAGCGATGTTCCTCCTCCTCAATTTATAAGGACACGAGTACCTTCCAACTCTCAAAAGAAAGGTTTTATTGAGTTACGTTTCAGCCCTTCTTCAACAAGAAGTCATACTTCCTGTACCACGAAAGGAAAGATTTCAGAGGTTTTATTCCCCCCTCTTCCTAGTAAAAAAAAAACAGGAAGAAAATGGAGACCCATTCTGGACTTACTTTAGCTCAATCTCTTCCTCAGGATCAGAAAATTCCACATGGAGTACTTAAGATCTATCATTCCCATAATTCATCAGGGGGACTGGATGATATCAGTAGACTTAAGGGACGCCTATTACCATATCCTCAGGTTTTGCATATACAACCATCACTTGAAGTTTCAGGCCTTGCCATTCGGCATAAGTACAGCTCCAAGGACCTTTTCGAAGGTTCTAGTTATGATTATAGCCTTGCTAAGGAAACAAGGTGTCACAGTCTTTCATTACTTGGACGACATCTTGATAACTGCATCAGACTACCATCTGTTGGTTCAACATCAGTCCCTGGTTCTGAAGACTCTGTTGCATTTTGGCTGGTTGATAAATTACGAAAAAAGCCAGCTACATCCGTCCAGAGGACTGATTTTCCTGGGTGTGCATTTCAACACCACAATGGCAGTTGTCTCCTTAGCACATGACGGGAAGATCAATCTGTTGGAGCGTGTGTGGCAGTTTCATCGTCTAACATTGGCCCCAGCAAGGGACTTCATGAAGTTGCTAGGCACTTTGTCATCAACAATAGGCCTTGTCAGGTGGGCACAGTGGAATATCCATCCACTTCAACATTACCTTCTGGAACACTTCAATTACAGTTCTCAAGAGTGGGAGGCTTCCCTTTACATTCCGAGACATCTGAAGCAGGATCTCCGGTGGTGGCTCTCTTGGAATCACATATCCAAGGGATTTCCTCTAACAAACATAGACTGGTGGATCATAACCACAGATGCGAGCCAGTCTGGCCGTGGAGCCCATTTTGGAAATTGTTTGTCCAAGCATTTTGGCCTCTTCATGCCTGTCAATTACCATCAAACATTCGGGAACTGAGAGCAGTCTTCCTGGCTCTACTACATTTCTAGTGTCATCTGAAGGACAGATGGGTGAAAATAAGGATAAACAACAAAGCATCAGCTGTTTATATCAACCATCAAGGCGGTGTCAAAAGCACCTTACTAAAGAGAAAGATTCAACCTATCATGACCTGGGCTCAGAAGAATTTGTCAGGATTGTGTGCGGTTTTTCTCCCAGGGAAAGACAATATGGTAGTGGATTTTTTGAGCAGATACCAGGTAGAAGAGACAGAGTGGCAACTCTCCAAAAAGATATTCCTTCGATTGGTCCAGAGGTGGGGCCTTCCCCAAATTGACCTTATGGCCACAGAGGCAAACACTCAAGTTCCAACTTTCATCTTGAGGCAATTTCATCCCCGTGCTAAGGCACAAAATAACTTCTCAATGGACTGGAACTTCAATCTGGCCTACATCTTTCCCCCAATACCTCTGATTCAGGTGGTGCTCAAGAAAATATCCAAGGAAAACTGCAAAGTGATAGCCATCCTACCATTTTGGCCTCGGCGTCCTTGGTTTCCCCTGTTGCATAAATTGATGTTGGATGATCCTTGGGAACTACCGGTTTCGGAGGATCTGTTGTTTCAGGGTCCTCTTCGACATCTGGCACCACACAAACTCAGGCTACGGGTCTGGCTCCTGAGAGGCAATCCCTAATCTCTAAAGATATTCCAGAACATGTTGTATCTACTTTGTTATGTTCTAGGAAGGTTTCTACTTCTCACACTTATCACAAGATATAGCAAAAATTTGCAGACTTGCTGAAGAGAGAAGTACACTCCTTGGGAGAGGTTTCGGTTATGCATGTCTTGGAATTTTTGCAATCCGGACTGGACAAAGGCCTCAGCATTATCGGCCATATCAGGAATTAGAAAATCCGATGGTGATTCGTTTTTTTAAGGCGGTAATCAGACTCAGGCCTCCGATCCGTACCTTTACGGCTCCTTGGGATCTTCCTTTGGTTTTGCACGCTCTTACTGGCTCTTCTTTTGAACCAATAGAAGAAGTTTCTATCACCATGCTTTCTCAAAAGATGTTGCTTCTGCTTGCTTTAGTTTCAGCCAGGATATTGCCTCTGTGGCTGATTCTCAATTTGGTCTCTCCGTTTTGAATTCAGCACATGTTTACTAAATATTTGGCATGATTACCCTCCCTGTAGTTTTTACTGCTTGGGTATTCCCATTAGTTAAATGCTGCCATGATTAGCCAGGAATAGCCAAAAGTTATCTTTACTTACCGTCATTGTCTTTTGCTGGCTATTATTCATGGTAGCATTTAATATCCCCTCCCACTTTGGGGACATGCTTGTTACTTGACTGAGGAACTGGTGCTGACTCGGATCCTTATATACCTGCCCAATTAATTGTTTAATTAAGTTTTAATTAAGTCATGTAGGTGATTAAGTATGGATACATTTTCTCTAATTTTTGATTCGGAGTTCCATCTTTTGCAACAAATAGAAAGAGCTGATTCATGGGGAAAAAAATGACTGTCTAGGGGAGGGCCAATAAATTCTTATTTTATTCACAGGTCAAGTGAGAAACGATCAATAGAGGGGGAAAAGGAGTAGTAAATAAAGTATATATTTCTATACGTTTATATTTAACAAAAATATAATCTATAAATATGGATAAAAAAATTTGTATCGCTCTTCCTCTTTTTCTATCTGTTGTTGACTTTTCACATAACCTGTGAATAAAATAATAAAACAAATATGTATATTTATAGTGGTTCACTAATAAAATTTAATTATGAATGACTTCTTACCTGAGAAATATTTCAGAAAGCTAAAGTTGAACTCATTCCTCCCAGATTGCCAGAATTTATTTGAACTCAGTCAACTTTGTGTAAGAAAGGAAACTTGCACATACTCTTATGCAATAGGTGAGGGAGCACCGGCTACAGTCTGTTTCAAAATCAATTTATTAAACCAGACAATTGTGAAAGTCAGCAAAAGGGACCCATTGTATCTCGATGGGTTACATTTTTAGACAGAGATTGCTCCTTATTGCACACACTGCGCTGCATGTAACCCACGTGAACAAATATAGATGTTATCACAGAGAAATGCATGGTACTGACAAAGGTCATGAAAACGATTTTAGAAAATCATGTCATCATGATCAAGATTATTAACTTTTTCTTTTTTTTAACAGTAGAACACGTATTAAGTGAAGCGAAAAAGAATAATCCATTTACAAATTATTATTATTATTTTTTATAAATATTATTATTATTATTTTTTATATATATATATATTTTTCTAAAATATTGTATAAGATCGATTTGTGATGCATAGCACACGAAAAGGAAAATAGCAATAATTTTGTTAAAAGAGGGTTGTTTCAGAATACATGAAAAATGCTATTTATTTACCTTTCCATTAATTTTAGCATTTTGTTTATTTGTATATTCCTTATGGAACGACTGGGATGATAATATGGAATGGAACGCTAGTAGAATGTCTATGTGAGTGTCAGGATACACTAATGTGCCCAACACGCAAAACTTTAGTAAAAATAAAGAAAACCCTAAGGTGTATTGCCGGGCCTTAGAATAGCCAGATTTAATGTATAAAAAGAAAAGTACAAGACAGGCTGAGGTCAGGAATACAGAGTATACGTAAACGTATGTAAGCCAACGGTCAAGGGATACAGAGCTCGCAATAGTCAGTAGGAAAGCCAAAGTCAAAATACCAGAAACACGCTCTCGGATTACACGGATGGAAACCACGACAGGGCACAGAGAAATGAAGGAAAAATGGTTTAAATAGCCTAAGGTGCTCCTTGATTGGCTGCAGGGGAGCATGTGACAGTGAACGTGTGTGTGTGTGACATCATACACACGTTCCCAGTAGTTAGGCACGGAAAGGGTTAATTAAGAACCTTAAAAGGTGAACTGAATTTGTGTGGAATGCTGTGGTTCAGTCAATAGGAATTAAAATATATATACATTTAACATTTACAAAGAATTCATGTAATATATAGCAAAACCCATCGATATCATTATATCTGTTATTTACACTAAAGTGAGAATTCAAAGAAGCAAAAATGTAACATTTAGCTAACAAGTTAGCTATGCCTTCAGTTCAGTTGTTTTGGTATCAAAAGGACAAAATAGGCACCCAGGCCACTTCAGCTCATTGAAATGGTCTGTGTGCGGTGCCCCTGTCACCTTAACCCTGCAATTGTTATTATTGCCGTTACTAATACACTGCAATAATTACCTTGCAGGGCTAACTCCACCTCTAGTGGCGTAGTGTCCGCTAAATGACACTGGACATCCTCGCGCTTTGTATGAGGACATTCAGGGTGATCTAAAATCCCACAGGAAAGCATCAATTCATTGCCGCACAAGCGCATTAGGTCCTTCCCACAGGCTCGCATCGGCGGAGCAGAGGCAGAAGTTGACCAAGATCCGAGGGACATCAGCACTGGAATCAGATAAGTGACAAAAGGCTTTCAAAGACTTTCAGTGCCATGGAGAGGGAGGAGAGGGCGTAAAGGAGGGGGACACCATAAGGTACTATACTGCTAGCAATACAACTTT